AAAAATTTTCCCTTTCTGTGTGGAAGTGCATCACAAAGTACAGTTGTCTCCCTGCTCCCCCTTCTCCAGCACTGATAGTTTTCAAAGACAACTTCCTATGACCTGTATATAGCTTTGGACTAGAACTCACACAGACACGTCTCTTTGGGGATTGGCTTCTTGTCACAGCTGTTCATAGTTTATGCTTTTTGTGCCTTGAAAAGTTCTTAAGGATGGAATGAGTAGGAGATTAAATAAACATAAGCAAATATGCTCCTACTTTTCCGAAGAATGGCTGTGTCTAACTCTGTGGACAGACGTTTTGACAAGAACAGCAGGTGTGAATCTTGCCTATAAATCATGTGTATCAGTACCAGGTGTATTCACTTCTTAAGAGCTCAACTATCATAAGTGTGTAGTAAATGTAAAAAAAAAAAAATACCCTAACAATACTGTCCTTTGATGTAACAAAGTGCTGCTCATTTAGGGTAGAAAATTATACTAAGGAGAAAAAAAAATCCTCCAAAAATGAAATGTGAGATATTTTTCAGAAGATACATCATGTTTTGTCAATGATAGGCAATTGATGGTAGGACCAATTAACTTTCTGTATTTCTATATTTAGTGAAAAAGCAAATCTTTTGTCATTTCTGCCATCTTTTTCATCTGAATGGATTAACCCCAGTTCTTTGTAGCATGGAGAGATATTTGACTGAGGTTTCCAAATCTTTGTTGGATAAAAAGACCTTGACTGAGTAATGTGACCAGAATTGATGGTTGGGATGGTTCTGCAGCAATTGTATTAATATCGTTCTGTAGAAACAGCTTTCGTCTAATTGTGTATATAAATATATAGCTGCATTTTAAAAAATCTGAACCTGTTATTTCTAACTTGGAAATTCCCTCCACCAATGTAAATGAATGAGTGCTTTGAATCTTTGTTTTCTAGGGCACTGAAAGATTAAGAGATTTGACTATAGTATGTGTCAGAGGAAAGGTATGAATCTAAGTCTTCTTGACCTTTTATCTATTTTGAGTTTTATCCACTTGAGTTTTATCTACTATGTCACATGGAGAAAGAGAGAGAGAGAGAGAGAAAGAGAGAAAGAGAGGAGAGAGGAGGAGAGGAGAGGAAAGAGAGGGAGGGAGGGAGGAAGGAAGGAAGGAAGGAAAGAAGGAAAAAAGAAAAAGAAAGAAAGAAAGAAAGAAAAAAGAAAGAAAGAAAGAAAGAAAGAAACTGTTATAGAAGTAATACAATACATTGTGTAGCATGGTAAGCTTGGAGTCAGGAAAAATTGGAATAGAAATTTGGAAATTGTCCTGACTAGAATAGAAAGACCAAAGAACACAGTTGTTGGAAATAAGATTACAGTGAGATTATAGAAAGAGTCTCAGAAGCAAGCACAATATTTTTGACTTGGTGTGATAACATGAACAACAGTTATAGCTTAAGTAGAGTGATATGATGAAAACAATGGTTAAGGATGATAGTTTTTGACAGCAGAAAGTAGATGAAACTGATGGGGGAAAGGCCAGCAAGAGACTGATAGAGTTATCTAGAAATGAAGACAATGAAGATCTGAACTAGCTGAGCAAGAACAGGAACAGAAAACAAATGGGAAGTACAAAAGTCATTTCAAAAGTGAGGAAAAAATTGTGAGGCCTTAGAAGCAGGTTTGTTGTAGCAGATATATATATATATATATATATATATATACATACATACACACACACACACACACACACACACACACACACATATTCCAAGTTGACTCCCTGGTTTCTAGCAGACAGTCATCTACTTTGAATGAAAGGCAGTCACTCTGATAGAAATTAAACACTTGAAAATGGAAGCTTGCTTATTAAAGAAAGCAACGATCTTGGTTTCTGAATTTCTCATGCTTTCTTCCATTTCTATCAGATTTCCATGGTGAAACAAATCCTGTAAATTGCCAGGGAAATCTGAGTCAACAAAGAAGTCATCAATGCTTTTATTAACATTAGGTGGATCCAAAGGACGGAAATCTATGCCTCATCTCAATCCGTAAAGTCACGTGAGTGATGATTGGTTTTGAAAAAGCAACTTGGCTAGAAGATACTTTTGCCTGACTTACTCCCTTTGCCTGACTCTGCTAGAAATGAACTTTGAATCTAGCTGCTGAAGATTACCCTGCTGCTAGACTCAACACATATTGAAATTTAAAATGTCGATCAGTGCCACAGCAGATGGCTTCTGAGAAGTAAAGATTAAATACCCATCCACTCTGACACATTCTTAAAAGTATAAATACATCATTGTCTATGAGAATGGTCTTGAGAAAGCTTGAAAAATATACTCTCAGAAATCTCCTAAGACAAAGGGGGAATATTTATCAGGCAATCTTATTTGTAACCCTTCAGATGGAACAAAAGGGTGATAAGTTGGATATTTCTTTGCGGCAGACATAGTTCCGAATTCCCAAATCTTCATCTGAATCCCATAGTGGGTTGCTCAAAATTATTATTGCTGCTTTTGCCTTTTAACTCCTAGGTGGTCTTATTCTAAGACACAATTTATTAGCCATATCTTTTTCTACAGTGAAATTGAAAGCTATTGGATATAAAAATGATAAGACTTGAAGGGAGCTCAGGAGGTCATCTTAATTCAAGTCCTTGTCTCTCTAAACGACTGCACTCAAATCCCACAGAAAAATGGCAATATCGGAGAAAGAAATTCTAGTTTCTCCCGATCATGCTTTCCCAAACTTTACTGTCAATTAAAGGCTTTGTAATAGCCCAGTGCTGTAATGATGCCTTCCTTTTTCTTCTCATATGTCTTTTGATACAGAGTAAGATAAAATTGTCCTTTAATGTGACTGAAGACAAAATCGTAACTTCACAAGTCTCCTGGAGACATCCTTACTTTGCTTCATTATCAAGCCATTCCTATATCACAGACATTCCCAGGAGGGAAAAACAAGTTAATAAATTCCAGATTAAAAATTGTATACCTTTACTCAAAAACAAACAAACAAAAAAACCCCACACAAGTTATTTTACTGATGGATGACTTTGTGGAAAATAATTTTAGATCTTACTCTTCAATCACTTGCAAGATTTCATGGCTTTAATATCCTAAACGGGGAAGCAAGGTGGCATAGTGGATAAAGTGCTACACCTGCAGTCAGGAAGACCTGAGTTTACATAGCCCCGTTGTTTTAGTTTCCTCATCTGTAAAATGAGCTGCAGAAGTCAAACCACTCCAGTATCTTTGCCAAGACACTGCCAAATGGAGTCATGAAGAGTCAGACACAATTGAAAAATGACTCAACAACCAAATATCACAAAGAAAAAAATTAGAAAATCTGTACCAATGTTTCCAGTGCACCAGTTAGCTGATGATGCACTGCGACTGGCTATTATAGTGGAAGTCAAAGTCAAAGTAATAGTCTCTAGAATTAACATCTTCTCCACATACAATGATTTTTTCCTTTCACTATTGAACTCACTGGTTAAACACACTTTTAATCCAGATGTTGACTTCATGAAGAAATGAATGCTGTGACGTGCTCAATTATATCTCTTCTCTGCTCTTTTCTAAGAGCACTTTGAGGTGCCTGTCCTTGCCTGTGAGTTGGAGAGAGTATTAGCTTGCCTCCTTGGCTCTAAAGCATTAGTCCTTGGGTCTGAACGGGTTGGTGGGGGTGGGGTGGGAAATCTTCTGGTCCACCTGACCTTCAGAGGTGTCAGCAGTTGCCCAGTATGCTTCCCAGTACGTCATTGCCTCCTCTTCCATGTTGCTTGAGGGTCTCCAGTTAGGCTCCAGGTCAAACATACCAAAAAGATGACCTAATTCTTTGCAACACTGACCAGTCCATCTTGTTCTTCTGCTAAGACCCTTTATTCCCAGTAATAGACCATGACAGAAGTACAGAGAAATCCATGTCTCTTTAAAGTTTAGACAATCTGTCCTTGCTAATCAATTTTTTTCAACTGCACATATTAGAATTTTCTACAGAAATGTTACATTTCTCTCTAACTTAAAAATAGCCAAGGATGATACTTGTGGTTAGAGTGAGAACATGGCCTCTATCAAGACGAGATGGAAAAAGTGACAAAATACAGTGTAATTTTATACTCTGGCAGGTGTTGAAAGAATATAATAATATTATCCAGGGAGAAAATTAACCCAATTTGGAAATATCCTTGCTATTTTTGCACCTACTCCAGATCACAAGATCATTGCTGCAGAGCAGACAGGGACTTCAGAGGCTGTCTAGGCCAATTCTTTCGTTTTACCTGTAAGAATTCTAAGGCTCAATGAGGCACTTATCCAAGGCCACACAGGTAGCAGGGTTGTCCTATGACACCAAACTAGTCCACTTAGCATTTCCTCGTACTCTTTCCCAGACCGTATGCACAGCAACTACTCAGTAAATGTTACACAATTAAATGATGATGATGGGCTAAAGATCAGCGTATTGTCTTTCAGTGAACACATGTTCACTGTCCTAGAATAAGCAAGTCATAGAAGCACAAGTGTCTTGTATATGCCAAGAGGGGATAAAAAGACAAATGAAAAAAGAACTGCTGCCTTTAAGGAACTTACATTCCAATAAGGGAATGTAACATGTAAATAGATGATATGTATGACCATTTTTGGAGAGGAGCCAGAGCATAAAGACTTAATGTTATAAACGAGACCACCAAACCACCTCCCCAACTAGAGCAAGGCTCAACTCTGGGCCCAATAACAAAACTGTGGTGTTCTCTTGCAAGAGCAGGCACCTTCCCTTTAATGAGAGAAGCATACTTACAGAGAAGGGAGAGCAAGCTTTATACTGTTAGCCCCTAGCATTGCCTTCCTCAGACCTTGGATCGGTCTGAACTCTTCCGGGTTACAAGCTTCCTGAACCACCCATCCATGTTCCTCCTTGACATGTTTCCCATCCCTTGTCATGCGTCCCATGTTATGTAAATGAGCAAAGTCCCCTCCTTGAGGTAAGTCAGATAATATACATGAAGCTAATTAAGTAAGCATGTTAAAAAAAAAGTCGGTTGCCGTCCCTTGACCCTGACCGGTTTGAGCTGGTTTCAGCCTGGGCCCGCTTTATCGGGAGCTTTGCAGTTAGGCCGGTTTCTTCTTCTAAAAGCTGATTGGTCGATGGTGCTTGTGATTTTACACCACCTTGAAACTGAAACGTCCTGTGGAAACCTAACTTTTTAGTATTAGTATTTCTCATGCTTAAAGTACCTAGAAAGGGCTTTTTATTAAGAACTGGTATATGAAATGAGCATTAAAGGAAACTAAGCTAGTAATTAAAGAAGTGGAGACAGTACATTCTAAGTACAGGGGAATAGCACATGCAAAAGAGAGAGAGAGGAGACAAGAGATTGAGCACCAAGTTGAGAAACAACAAATGATTCAGGGAACGTAGGGTACATAAATGGGAATAATGTAAAGTTAGCAGGGAAGTATAGGCTAGAGCCAAATTGAGAGATTTTTCATTTTTACAATGGAAGCCATGCCAATGAATGTTCTTGAACAGGGGAGTAATGTGATTAGAAAGATTATTTTTTCAGAAGTGTAGAGGATGGATTTGAGAGGAAAGACACTAAAATTCAGGATCTCAGCAGCTTGTTGTAATAGTAAAATCAAAAGTTGATAAGGGCCTAGACTAAGGTTGTTGTGGTTATGCAGTTTCCTTTTTTCTGGAAGAGGACCATGACACCAGGGAGATGATGACATGATTTGCAGTTGAATTGGATTTGAGTGAGGGAGGCCTGTGCAAAGTCACCAGCCTCACTTTCTCCTCCAGGGCCATCTGGGTCCAATGGCCAGATATAGATCAGGATGACTGGAGATGGCCTAGGATGCAGTGGGAGACCTTGGCCCTTTTTAGGCTAAGGTCTTTTCAGGTTCTCACTTTGAGTGAGGTAATGCCCACTCAGTGAATAGGCCTCTTTAAGAAGTGAGTCAAGGGATGGCCCCTTTAATTAAAAAAACAACAAGAAGAAAAATCAAGCTAGGAGGGGAACACCCTAATGGTTGCTGGCCAAAAGAGAAACAGTTACTATTTACATTCACTCTGAGCAAGTAGTGACTAAAAAACAACCATTTATTGGTTCTTGGGCAAGGCAAGGACCTCGTTGTCCAATCAATGACATCCAGAGTGAATTAGGTTTAAGGCTTGGTCTTTGAGAAAGAAATCTAGCCAGTAAATCCCAAGTTAACTAGATAGGTTTTGATCATTGAAATTTACCTTCTTTTGGGCAGAACACCCTCAGGTAAGGGGAGAGGAGGAGAGGAGAAAAAGAGAGGGGAGGGGAGGGGAGAGGAATTGGCCAACTGGAACTGGCCAGCTGGGTCCCAAATAGGGAAGCTTGGACTATTTGCAGGCTGTGATTTGTCCTTCATTCTCAAAGAGGACCATTCTCAAAGAGGGTCATGTGAAAGTAGGAAGAGAAACATGGAAATGAGAGATGTTTTGGAGATAGAACTGATAAGACTAGGCAACTTGTGAGATGGAGATGAAAGCAAGAGGAAAAGAGAGGAGAGGAGAAGAAACAGTTATGTCCTTGATGATGCAAACCTGGGTGAAAAGATAATGTTTTTCTTAATAAAAATAGGGAACTTTAGATGAGAATTGGTTTCAGAGGGAAGGTAATGAGTTCCATTTTGGACATCTTGAGTATGAGATGACCATAAGACAACCAGTCAGACCTACTTATCAGGAAACTGGACTCTAGAATTAGAGTCAAGGAGAGAGATTAGGACTGGCATATAGACTCATATTCTTAGAGATGATCATAAAATAGCCATGTTTTTGTATCTTCCTTGACCACATATTGTGTATAGAATATAAATGGTGCTTAAAAATGCTTGTTGATTGAACCCAGGGGAGCTGATAACATCACTAAAAGAAAAGGGGTAGATAGAGAAATACAGAGGTTTCAGGGCAGAGCCTTGATGGGCTTTCACAGTTGAGAGTCAGAACATCGATAATGACTACTAAGAAGATTGAAAAAGAGTAGAAGTCAGATATGTAGTTTAACTAGCAGGAGAGAGTAATGTCATAGAAACACAGGAAGGAGAACATAACCCAGTGGAGGGCACGGCCAGCCGTGTCCAAAGCTGTCAAGAGCTCAAGAAAGAATAAAACTAGATAGTTCCTGTTTCCCAGTTGTTTGCTTTCTATGAGGAATGACCTATGAGGAATGTGAAGAAAACCACAAAGAAGGCAAAAGCATATTTTTGACATGAATGGAAAAGTGTGTGAAGATAGATTGAGGGGCTTCATGATAATGAAAATTTCTAAAGAGAGTTTTCACTTCACAGATTTAAACAATTCTTTGTAATTAAGCAACTAACTAATATTTGTGGGTTTGTTTGTTTGTTGTTGTTGTTATTGTTGTTATTGTTTAATCTGACTTGTTTTCATTAGTTTTAGTGGAACTCCTTGAGAGGGAACTCCCTCTACAAATGTGAATCAGCACCTGCTCTACAACTTACAATCGTAGAGAGTTTGCTGGGGCTACTGAGAGCCTAGGTTATCTACCCCAAAACATACATTCAGTATGTATCAGAGGTCACATTTGAATCCAGGTCTTTCTAATTCTGAGGCCAGTTATCTATACACTTCACATTTGTTGTTCATTACAAATAAATTAATGAATTTTCAAAGTATAGATCAATAAAAATGTATTTATTAAGCATTTACTGTATGTCAGGTACTCTGCTAAGAGCTAGGGATACAAAGAAAAAAGCAAAAACAGTTAAATAGCTTACCTTCCAATGAATTCTAACAGAAAATGTGTAAAGTTGAAATAGGATGAGATAGTTTATTCCTCAACCAGAGCAGTACACTTATCTAAAAAGTCAGAAGAGATAGAGTAGAAATGGGAATCCTGTAGTTTTGCTACTCCAGACTAAAATAAATTCCACTAACAGAGGTTCAAAATCACACCTCTAAACTATAGAGCAGTCACAAAACAAAACAAAACAAAACAAAAACAAACTTCAAGTATTATCATCTGACAGAGATCAGAATGGTAGGGGAACAGATCCTAAACCTAGCTGCTTTGTTGCTCTGTCCTGAACTCCACCCCAGATGTACAGAGAAAAATGAAGAAACCTTGATCAGTGAATGGCTCCTACATTACATGGAGCGTGGAATAATTGTTCCACTGGCTTGGAATTCAAGAAGCCCATAAGGATAGGGTAGGTGGTATTTTGGAGAAAACAGAAGAGTTCTTAATTTAGTCCTGAAACTGAATAGCTACATGTCATCAGGCAAATCCCATGCTCTCCGGAACTCTAGGCCTCATTTTTCATATATGCATATACATACATGTGTATGTATGTATGCATGTATAATATGTATACATGTATATATGTGTATATGTATGTAAGGATATATGTAGATATAGATATAGATATTTATATAAGTCATAGTATTATAGACTTAAAATTAGAAGATACCCTAGAGGTCATCAAGCCTTGGCCTCTTGTTTTATATATAAGGAAATTGAGGTCTAGGGAGGTTGTTACTTTTCTATGATCACATAGGTAATCTGAACTGAAATTTGATTCAAGCTGTCTCTCCACTATCCCATACTGTTTTATATCAGCCATCCTAAAAGATCCAGGGTCCTTCCAGTTCTAAAAAGTCTATCTTAATTAACATTGCCAAGCAAGCTAAAAGCTTGCAAGGAAATTCAAGGACATAAGGACTGAATTTCTTCTCTTGACTTTCTATGTTTCTATCCTTTATTGAGACTAAAAAGCTGGCCATCTATCAAGATAGTTGTGAAGAATGAATATACAAAGGAAATTTTGAAACACATTTCAGACTAAGTGATAAATAAAATATGAATGGAATTAGTCATTGGCCAATTCATGGTGGTTCACTGAGCTTTGTAAAGGAAAAATTACCATTTTTTTTTTCAAGACAGTCTCAGAAAACCAGCTTAGGATAGGGGTAGAGCTAATATACTGGAAGTTTGGGGGCAGCGTTATAAGGGAGAAAAAATAGAAGAGAGAGAGAGAGAGAGAGAGAGAGAGAGAGAGAGAGAGAGAGAGAATAGTTTGGGAAAGATAGACAAGGACCAGCAAGGGAATAAAGGAAGGAATAAAAATAAATCAAATGAAAAAGGAACTACTAGCATTCAGAGAAGATCCAGTTAGCATTTTTCCCTCTAAAAACTTAAGGATGATGGTTCCACTAGTTGATGGAATGGCTAGTTGATTTTCAAAGACATAATTACTCCTGTCTTTCTTCCTGTTTGGCATCTTTCCACCCCCTCCAGATGTACCCTGGGAATCAGGCTACCATTGGACAGCTGGCGCCGTACTTAACAGGTAACTGAAGCACAGGATTATTCACGTGATGCATTTCCCCCTCCAGCTGACTCAATGCATTCAATAATGTGGGGGGAGTCTGAACCATTCCTTAAGATTAGAATGATTGGATGACTGGAAATCTGGTTGGAAATAAAAAGGATGTAACAGCTTCTCCAGTCCTTCCTTTTCAGTCCTAATGCTTATACTTTATGTTGCTGTGCTACCGGCACTTAGAAAACTACCTTATGCTAGTTGAACCTAGCTACTTCCCTTCCATTCTTTAGTTGCCTCCCATATAGCTCATGTCCTGAGATGATTATTTATTGAAATTCTTCCTAAATACCCACTCTCCATAACACAAATGCTCCCTCCTGGTTTCAAGTACTAGATGTTATAACCTAGTCTTCATTTCAAGACAAATGGCACTGGACCAATTTGAAAGACATCAATTCAATAACCCTGGATACATAGCATAATGAGGTATATCTACATTAAGTTGTCAGCTCTACCTGACATAACTTATACACCATCATGTACAAATTATTAGTTCCTCACAGGGCTGGACCTGTCTTATTACCTTATTTATTTACAAAAGCTGCTGTGATAGAGTACATGACTGAAAAATCTCCATTTTATCCATGGAGAAATAAAGAGATGAAAAAGTTTAAGGGGCATCCAAAGGGCACATATCTCACTCTTTGAGTTGACACAGAAGGAAGTCTTCATGAAGCTTACCCTGAGCTTCTTCACTTTGACATACAATGGTATAGCATGGCATAGAACTATGAAACTTAAGGTGATAGTCAGAATACCTGAATTTGCATCTGGGCTTTAACACCTACTACCTGTGTG